CCAGGTATAACAAAGCACTGTGACATGATGATACCAGTGCAGGAAGGACAGTGGCCGTTTCCGCAGAACTATAAATGCTGTATCACCAAACTCCAGTATCTAGAAAAAACATATCTTGAATTGTTCATCACTGAAAACGTAAGAGCAAAAAAAAAAGAGCCTTAAAAAGTCGCAAAAAAAAAAAGAAAACCTACGCGTTTGGACATTTTTTTCTCAACCAAAAATTATAGACAAAAGATAACATTTCAAGTCATTTTTTAAATTAAATATACCTGTACAGTGTGCAGTAAAAAAATGCATACTCTTTTTTGTTAAATCATCAAACGCTACCAACAAATACGTTTTAAACCAATTTACCTTAGACATAGCAAATTTTTCAGTCCAAAAACCCGTGACTCCTTGAGCATAAGACGCTGTACAAATTGAATATTCTAAAGAATTTGATGTAATACTCCACCACATTTCTGGGCTCATTCGTGTTACTCCCATTATAGAAAAGATTGCCAGGCAAAGGTTCCATACAAATAGTGGAGTATCCAACGAAAACGCTTTTCGCGATTCCATAATCTGAATTAAACTTTTATTCTACAAATAAAAAAAATCAAGTGTCAAGAGAAAATGAATTTAATTAAATAAAGGCTTCGGCAAAAACGGCAAACAGGCCTTAACTTAAGTTTGTCTCAATTACTCTTTAAAAAACGTATTCGCACAAGACGAACTGTCAAAAAGTTTTGCAGTAAAGATTCTGCACACTGCTAAACCCAAAAAAAATTTGAAATAACTTATGGAAAATTTTTTAAATAACCTAGTCAAATAAAACAAATTTGTGAATGCCAACACTCTGTGGACTCTATTATTTTCCTACAAAAAAATCAGACAAAAAGCTTTGAAGATCCAGCAAATAACAAAATACCTTCCTGCCGGTGAGAATAAGCGCTCCGTAAAGCACAGACGAATAAATAGAATTATGCCAGTTTCGTTGCATCCACTCAGTCGAAGCTATAGGATCAAAAGAGTACTCAAAGGGAAAGACAAACGAATAATTCTCGATACCATACCGGGGCCAATATTCAGCTCGAGCCATACTGTCCTTAAAATAACAAAAACTTTGATATACTTATCCTGAAGTTCGATACAACACCACGCAATCCGTCGCGTATGCTAAAATTATTAGAAACAAAAAAACTCAGTAGTCAGCCATAAAAATCGCTAAAAAGTTATTTAAGGCAGGTTGTTTCTGACTCGAGAAAAAATCCAAAAAACCTCCCAGCTGAATGAATCCCTAAGAAATCTCAAAAATAATTATTTTCAAGAAACTAAAAAATAAAACACGGAGAAACAGTCTTAACTACTCTCCATATTCACAACATTATTACTATAGCCTCCTGTAGCGAGAGAATGGCGACGCAGCCAAATTCTAAAACGCAAATTTAAAAGAAATTTTTTAAGAATTATATTAGACCAGTAAAAAAAGAATAGAACTGAATTCACAATAAAGGTTAACATCGAAATCAATAATTATTATATTCGCCATTAACGGTATTCGCTGAGATATCCAGTTTTTCCATAAAAATTTGTCAAGTAATCTTCTCTCTTTCGCCAAAGTCTATTTTTTAGGTAATCAATTTCTGTACAAGATCAGAGCGCAAAAACGCTACTCTGTGCACCCCTCAAAAAGAATATAAAATAACACAAAGTAACTAAAATCTAGATAAAAAGTAGCATCAGAAGCTGAAAGCAGCTCAGATATAAACTTGCTGGATTAAAAAAGCTACACATTCTAGAATTCAGTAAAATTCTAAAAAACTCTCTCTCTCTCTCTCTCTATATATATATATATATATATATATATAAATTAGATCAACGAAATATGAGCAAAATGAAACGCCTGACTTATTTTACAAGTCCGAGCTCAAAAATTGTTTCAAATGCTTCGCGCTCAAAAAAGCGTTACAAAACTAATGAATAAAGTCGTCAATAAGACAAGTCTCACCAACATAAAAGAAATAATTAAAGTCGAAGAAGGACAAAAAATCATTACAAAGCCAATTTAAAGCAAAAAAAAAAACTGAAATATTAAATAATCATTTCTTAGGATCAGTAAGGTGAATGATATTACTACAACAACGACAAAAAATAGGTCATTTCTTTACAAAATAACGCATAAAGAACCTTTTTACTTCTCACAAACACTAGGCAAAAGTGAATCACATAGCCAGCATTGTATTGATGTCTGTAAGCTTCTAACAACGAATAAAACAGCCCCAATGTCTACACTGATTCACCAAATTTACTCCTGATAAGGAGGACAAAGAAAGGTGAAAAAATGTCCTTTAGCTGAAGAGCAGACTTCTAACAATCCTTCACATACCACCAACAAGACCATTTTTATACGCCCCCATTTTCTACCATCCATTAATCCCCAGTTTACACTGTTCTCTCTGTTCTACTGCTGTCATAAATCTCGAAATGCCTATTCTAAGCGTAAAAATACGAACGCAAACTATAAGCACACAGAAAAAAATTCAGCTCGATAAAAAAAAAAAAAAAACAAAAAACGATTCAAAATACAAAGTTCAAAGTTAGAACATATGCAGGGGTTACAATCAAGCATTGTAAAGTATCGGCAGCCTTCCTACTGTACACATGCACGAAAGTATGAAGCATGCGGAAAAAGGGAACTTACCCGTCAATGTAGCTCCAAACGTCGGATCAAGAATTCCTCACAAATCGTGACGTCTGCTTTACTGGAACAGTACGAATAAACACATCACAAAAAATGAATTACTTATCCAAAAGCCCCATAAAACACTATTAAAAGATGATTAAAAGTATTGAAATAGTAAAAACATAATTAAAAATAGGGATAATGACAGTAATGTTAGCAAAATACCTTATTCAAACGGTAGTCAAAAAAATTTGTAGGGGATATGGTTGAGGAAAAAGGTTAAAAAGATAAATTGAAACAGCAAAACCATATATATATATATATATATATATTTGGTAGAATAGTTGACTTCCCAAAATAATAAGAACTTTTAATCAAAAAAAAAGTAGGATAAGGAAGGAAAATGCAAAGTGATAATTGTTTACTCTGCTCCACAAAAATGCATTTCAAGAAATGTTCCGGATAATTTCATGGTTCTCTTTTTTTCTGCCCCTATAATAATTGCTCTTTTTTTTTTTCAGCATTACATCACTAGTCGTCAAGTCAGGTACCGCAGAACAACAAGATGACATACTTCCTGGTGACAATAGCAGCAACAGATCTATAGTACTGTCAGTAAATCCTCAACGAATAATTACTTCTTCACGACAGTGTCATTGGAAACCAGTTACTGGCGACTTCTC